GATAGGTCTCTATTCTCTGTATGGAACTGAAATATTTTGTTCCTGGAGTTAGACTGGTTAGCACAAATGGTAGCTCTGGTTCCTTTTTTGCTCATCACTAGTGTTAAAATCTCATATCTGAAAAGTTTTTGCCCACCACGGATATAATCAATTGTTGCAATTATGAAGTGAGTACATAAATTGGTAGAGGTAACTGTCAACCATCAATCAATAATCCTAACCCATTGGGGGGGGGGAGTGTGAGACAGCCAAAATGACTCAACATAATTGATTGGTGCATGAAACTCACTGGCAGGCAAAACTTTGGTGGGAAAAAAAGAAACAAGAGCCCAAATGGCCCAATAAATATTGTAAAAACCTGCTTCATTTACTAACAGAAACTAAAATGTAAGAAAAAAGATGGTATCTATACTAAAGATGTTAAGAAAGGCCTTTAAATAACATTCATGGAAACCTATGTAGTTTGTTTTCTAGAGGATAAAAAGAATGACAGCTTGTAATATTATGATGTATAAAAATGGCAAAATAGTACTATTGCTAAAATTTTGAGTAACGTTTTCTAGCACCAAGTTAGAAAGCAAAAAATGGACACATTCCAAGATGTATTCCAGAAGGTAGAGAAGATTGGGGAGGGCACCTATGGAGTCGTGTATAAAGCAAGAAACAAGCAAACAGGCCAGTTAGTTGCTCTGAAGAAGATCCGACTTGATTCGTAAGTACTGGGGTTAGACCCTGAACTTTTAGTTCACAAGGTTTCCCCTAAACCTGCTACTCTTAAACTGATTTTCAAATAGCATTTTGGAATACTGACTATGAGAAAAAGTGCTGGTGTTTCTTGAAACATGTTTGGGATGATTGAAGTGTGGATTTCTAAAAACTCTTCTGGAAAACCTTGGTTAGAGTCTGTTCATGCTGATATTATGACATTCCTAATATGTGTCAGATCAGCTATATTTTAAAGTCTCCCTAGCAATAAAATAGCAGGCACCTTAGGAGTGTAGGCTATGATGAATTTAGGCTCAAACTGGATGTGACAGCAGATGTGTGAATATAGTTGTGTCTCACAATTTTTGTAAATGGCAGCTGTTATGCATGCACACTTTTCCTGTTGAGACACAACTGGCTAGATAAAGGAATTTTATCAGAAACCAGGAGGATCTCAATCTTTTTATGTCCTACCTTCTGCTATAAAAGTCCCCAAATACCCTATCCAGTTACTGAACATATTCAGACTTATTTATCTTCAGTAAGGAGCTGCATTATATTCCTTTATACCATGCCCTGTATGCCAAATTCATAGCACTGGAATAAATGGGATACCTATTTGCAAGAACAGAGTCTTTATGGATCACCTGAGATAGGCAACAGATATTCTCTATCAGGATGTGCACAGTAATGGCAAGTGCTAACTGCCTTGAAAAATTTTTTTCATCCCCAGCATAATTTCTATAAAAGGGTGGTTGCTTCAGGCAGTGTATGAATCATTGATAATTAATAACCTGATCATGAGAATTTTTAAAGGAAAGTGTGATTGTTAATTCAAAAACATCTGAAGTTGACTACATTAAATTCTATCTGCCAGGCTTCCTCTTTTGCCCTGTGTTCCAAGCACCTTAGTAACAACTCTCTGCATCCCCAAAACTAATCCACTATTTGCTATGTCCACTGAAAAATTTCAGTTTTTAAACCTCGTGGGGTAGTAGTTCATCCTGAGAGGTGGGAATTTGTAGGTTGAGAGTAGTAATAGAATGGCCTTGGTTAAATCCAAAGATAGAATCTGTGATTGATCATGTGACAATCCCCATAAGCAATCCATAGAAGAGAGGGATGAGAGGATGATTAAATATTACTGTGCCCAAGACATTCCTTAGAAAGATTGGATTGCTTCATCTTAAAATGTCTTTCCCCCACAGAGAGACAGAAGGAGTACCTAGTACAGCAATCAGAGAAATCTCATTGTTAAAAGAATTGAAACACCCAAATATAGTGAGGTAAGAAAAGCTACTGGTCTTTATATCTGTTAGGATATGGCCTATAAATATCAAGTATTTTCACAGATAGCAATTCCAATACAGTATTGCATATATTCATATATAAAAATAGACCAGGGAGCTAAAAAACCTCCCTGAGATGTTTAATTCAGCAATTTGTGTATTACAATTTTATCCCACTGCCTCCAAAGAACTCAGATTGGCTTGCACAATTTTCCTTTGTTTTATTCTTATAAAAAATCTGAGAGGTGAGAGAATTGGCCCAGGTCACTTAGTGAATTTCATGTAAATATTTCAAATTGGATTTTCCCTAATCTTAGTGCACTGTAATCACCCTTTTACATTGATTCTCCTTCTGCTGTATTGAAGAGCTTGTAGAAATCATGCTTATATCTTTTACTTTTGTTTACTCATATTAGTTTTTCCAAATCCAAATACTCAAGTCACTGGGCTTAATTTTTTTTTCCAGGCTCCTTGATGTAGTACATAATCAGAAGAAGCTATATCTAGTCTTTGAATATTTGAATCAAGATCTTAAAAAGTACATGGACTCATCTCGTACAGGAGAGCTTCCTCTAAGCTTAGTCAAGGTAGCAAGTGGCACAAATACCCTATCTCCCATGTTCCAATCTGGAGAACTGTCCTTTGTCCATCACTGGTAATTGGCTAGGACATTTTCAAACTGCTTATCAAATTTCAGATTGTTCCTTTACAATATGAGTGCTCAACCTACAGCCCATATGCACCAACAATGTTCTCTCTGGCCCACTGCAATCAATAGTACTTTCTGGCTGCCTGCCAAAAAACTGATTGTCAGATTCCTAGGAATGCCATAACATGATGTGTTGAAAACTGCAGGAAAGGGTGGTTCTGTTAGGGAAGAGGAAAGAGAAGAGGGGGGCGACTATATACGTATGCATGTATACGTATATACATATGTATGAGTGTAGGGGGCCAGGAAGATAATGTTGGAGAAATCATCCAGAGGCCATTAAGACAACAACAGGTGCAGAAGTATGTATTGAGCCCAGGGAGGTGGGAAAATGTTAGAAAGAGACAGACTGCCCCCGCCCCCACTCCCTGGAGAATAAGAGGGAGAGAAGGGAAAACACAAGCAGACTTGCAAGATTCTGTTACTATAGCTTGGCTCAATAAAGTATAGTTCTAGTATTCCTGTAGACAGTTTCCTGATCTGGTCTACCTCATAGGGCTGACAGTGTGCCCCTGTGTGTACTATGTATGCATTTGTGAGCTCCGATTGACCAGTTGGTATTCCATGTGAATCTTGGGGTCAAAAAGGTCGCCAGCTCCTCTTACCTGGAGTATTGCAAAATCTTTGACATATACTTCATTCTTTTTTTCTCTTGCTCATGACAGAAAAGCTAGTTTTGACAGCAGTTGTTAATGAAGATGTTATGGGAAGAATGAGATACTTCATATTTATTCTTCCTGCTGAGATTCTTCTTCCAATTACATCTCCCTTCAAATCTACATGGATTTCCCAACCCATGTTTAGAAAATACATTTTTAACTGTGAAACAAAAAAAAAAAGATTTGGGGGAATGATCTGGCATTCCAAAAGTAGCAGCTGTACAAAAGTATTAAGCAGTTTTACCTCATACTGTTTTTTTAATACAAAATGTTATCCTGAAGCTGTTATTTAAGGAGAAGAAGGCACTAGAATGTTGATATGCATATAATATTTGAAAAGCCCACTAATAACATTGTCTTCATTCAAACAATATGTAATTATCAGTGTAGAACAGGCTTGTATATCTGAAAGCAGAGTTAAGCAAATACTTTTTGTCTGAAAGGCTCCAGTGATCTCAGATGTGCAATAAGCACAAATTCAGAAATGGCCTGAGGCAGGCAAAGCTTAGCTTCTTGACTTTTTTCTGCTATGTTGTCCCAGCAAAAGATTGATTAACCGCCCTTACTATCTCAGCAAAGAAAATGGGAAGATGTGCTCTGAAAATATATGTTGGTAAACCACAGACTATGAGCCAGTTTGGTGTAAAGGCACTGGGTTAGAAACCGGGAGACTGTGAGTTCTAGTCCTGCCTTAGGCACAAAGCCAGCTGCATGACTTTTGGCCAGTCACTCTTGCTCTGCCCTAGGAAACAGGTAATGGCAAACCACTTCCAAAATCTTGTCAAGAAAACTAGGTGAGGAGTCAGTTCTGACTCAAAGGCACACACACACAAGCTGCAGGCTGCTTGTAGCACTTAGGTTTTGGGACAGTTATTTTGATCAAGTTCATTGCATGTATGTATTATGTGTCTAGCAATTTTAACACCTGCCCTTTGTTCCTGGGAGCAGATTCAAGACTGCAGTTCTTCTGCTCAGATAGGCTTACTGGGGAAAAACTACTCTCCTTCCAGCAGTCCAGTGCCCAAGTCCATCATGCTTCTCCAGACCTTCCAAATTGCTTTTTGGTGGGTTAAAGGAGAACAGTGTCTTTCTCCAGGGCTAAAAAAGAGATACAAATCTGTTTATTTTGTTTGCTAGCTAAGGGATAACATACCTGGTTAGCAAAAATCCAAAAGATCACTAAATGGTAGGTAAGATATATGTTCTATTCTAACCGTTTGCTATCACTTAGTGGCTGTCAATATTTTTGCAGCCCATATATGGCAGCAGAATTTTGAGTTACAGCATATTTTGCTTAGGAAATGATGTGTTTACCTTCTACAGTTTCTTCATATGTGGTCTCTGATCCTTTTCTTTCCAGAGCTATCTTTACCAATTGTTACAAGGTGTAAGCTTCTGTCACTCTCACAGAGTTATCCACAGAGACCTGAAGCCTCAGAATTTGCTCATAAATGAAATGGGAGCCATCAAACTAGCCGATTTTGGCCTAGCTAGAGCTTTTGGAGTTCCACTGCGTACCTACACACATGAGGTAATGTCTGTCAGTTATGTGGGTTGCTGGGTCAGGCCCTGAAAAGAATCACACAGAGATGTGTGTGCATGTGTGAAAGAGGGAATTATGTATGTAGCCCTCCCCAAAATCTTGGATGTAGCCCCCAGAATCTCTTCAAATTTACCATTAAATTGTCATTTTTAGTATGACAAAGGGGGAAATTTGTTAAACACATGGGGAGTAAGTCATGTTAATGGCATTCAATTAATATGATAGAATTTTAATTTAATTCAAATTTAAATTAATTTAAATCATTTTTAGTTTTTATCTTGGTCTTGTATATTTGTTTGCTCTGACTCAATGCATTTTATGGAATTTGGCCCCTATTACAGTTCAGAGGGTAACAGCCAGAAAAAAAGGTGCACTTGTATTATCAGACATGGCAGCATTCTGAGGCAACCAAAAATACCATTTAGTTCCAGCTCCCAGACTTTCTGCCATGCTCACACGTCTTATTGGCCCCTTGCTCTTGACTTGGGGGCCAGAACAGATCAATAATATTTATATTACTGTTCATCCCAGCTCTTCTTTCAAATACTTTTACCACAGTGAAAATATTTGTATCATGTTCCATGTACCATAAGCTGGCTTATGGAACTCTGAAACATGCAGCTGGTATGAACCCAGCCAGTCATGGTCATCAGCTTTTCCCTTGTCAGTCATAAGAGTAGTTTGGAGTACTAGCTGAACTTACAGATTGTATTCACAGATCACCCTAAGGACTCTTCTCCTAGCCAAATTAAAGTGATATTCGCTATCCACCAGTCTCTGAGCTGGAAGAAAACTGTACTGTCATAAAATTTGCTGTCCCCACTGGCATTCCTTTGTTGACATGATGTCAGCAAATAGTGCTGTCTTTATTTACAGTGTACAAGACACATTAAGGGCAGGGAGTGGTGGATTCACTAGCTTTGTTCATTCATTCATTCATTCATTCATTCATTCATTCATTCATTCATTCAGTTTATATGGTAGCCTATTTGCCATGCAACTCGCTTCTCTCCCTCCCATCAAATGCCACCACTCTCCTTTCTCTCCAGGCTAGGGCTGGGTGAGCTGTTAAGTTTTGACTGATGGCCACACTGGTGTGTTTAGCCATCTGTCAAAACTTGCTGTGGTTTGGTGTATGTTTTCTTCATAGGTGCATTCAAAGGGATGTCAGCAGATAGCTGGGCTTCTTTAGGATGCAGGTTTACAGCAGTATTTTGGAATAGTACTAAATCCTTTTCCAAAAGAAGCCTGATGTCCAGCTGATATCAGACTTCCTTTGAATGGATTGATATAAAACACTTGCATCAAAAGAGAGCTGATGATTAGGATCCTTTTTATTTAGAATTATTCCAGAAGAGCTGCTACAGAAGTTCCATGCTATTCCAGAAGAGCTCTAAAAGCACTAAACCTATTCTCAAAAACAACAAGTATAGGAACTTTTATACCATGATGAAGCAGGAGAGAGAAAGAGAAAGAGAGACTCCTCTGTCCCATGCCAGCTGTTGTTCAAGCTAATTCAGGTTTCTGAACTGTGACAGACTCAGAGACCTGGGGAGTACAGGGGAGAGGTCTGTTTGAAAGAATTGAGCTCTTCTGCTGCCAAAAGCAGAAAGGTGCTAGAAGACAGTGCATAAGGGCCGGAAAGGAAAGGGTGTGCCCCTGCCAGTGTAGAGAGGGCAATAAGTGTAGGCTTTCCATGAAGCCTCCAGTCAGATTCTGCTGATTTTTGAATTTGATCTTTCTTTGGGGGGTACTTCCATACTATTCCATTCTGGTCTATTTTCAGGGTAATCCTGCAGATGGATCTTGAGCCCTTTTGCGTAATGTCTTCCCAACATTTCATAGGGTTGGAAAGGGTAAAAAGTGATCCCTTGGGATCATCATAACCAATATTCTCAATTAATTGCCTTATATTATCTTGGCAACAATTAAAGATGCCAGTGTCCCTTCAGGGAGTAGAGCAGACAAGCTTATTTTGCAAATGGAGGAGGGTAAAGGTAAATTTTGTAAAATATGCCGTCTTTGCCAGTCTTGAGCAATCTCTCGCCATTGCTCAATTGGTGACATAAATGAAAAGGTGGTCTTCCTGCTCACAGCATGCTTGTCTGCATCAGGGAGTCCTCAGATATACACAGAAGATGTCTTATGAACTGGAACCAGATGGAAATGATGATCTGTCATCATTTAGGCTCCCTGATGCAGATAACACATGCTGTGCACATGGAAGCTATATCTTCACTTACACCATGAAAATGACTGAGAGAAGGCACATGGTATTCACTGCTTTGCATGTGTTGGATTCAACTCATACAGACAACATCTGTACAAGGCTTGAGTTGGAACTAGAAAGGGAAGGTATTAAATTAGAGATAGTGTTTATATCTTTTTAATTCCCTGTGCAACCTTCAAGACTTTCACATTAACTGATGTATGAACTTTCCTGAATTCTTGGTTACAAAAAAACAGTCATGTCCCAGTATATCTGTTGATTTTATGAAAATCTCTATTGAAGCAAACTAGGATGGTTGGTCTGGGATTTAGATTTTTTTTGCCTCTGAAACAAAAAAACTTAATTCCTCCACCAGATCCTTGGCCTGTCCTTCTGTCCATTTCCCACATGATATTGCTTGGGGTTGTCCTATTGTGGGGTCCAGTGCTTCACAGTAAGGAGGGAAAGTGGAAGAGAGAGAAAGTCAAGGGACATAAAACTTGTCTGACTACCAGTAATAGAGAACATTTCATTGCAGCAGTTTGTATTGATGTAAGAATTATTTCTGGTAAATGACTTAGAAAGCTCTCAATGTGCTTTGGACTTATGGCTCAATAATAAACATTTTTAATTAAACTTGAGAAGGCCTTATATATCAAACAACCATTAAATTTGATTCCTTTTAGGTGGTAACCTTGTGGTATCGGGCTCCTGAAATTTTACTGGGTTGTAAATATTACTCAACAGCTGTGGATATCTGGAGCATTGGCTGTATCTTTGCAGAAATGGTAACATTCTCCATCTTTTTCTGTTTCAGAGAAACAGTATAATCGCAATATAAATGACAAAAAATGCATGTCTCCTGAGTGACTTTTGTAGTAGAGTGTGACTTACTCGTATTTATATAATCTCTTTGTGTATATGTATGAGAAAAAGTGGCCTTGACTGAAAATACAGTGACTAGAGTTGAAATACTTTCAATAGATATCATCTGTCCCTTTGCAGTTTGACCCGGGACCAGATTTTCTCCATACTATCATCATCACAACTCAAACCTGAAATATCTTTTCTTTTTTTGGCAATAGATTTGATTTATTCATTGTGTTTTTCAGATGACATAATTGAGAGCATGTAAACTTCTTATTTTAAATATTTGGATACTTTTTTCCTATGGTAGTTTAGTCTTTGGAATACCTATTCTAAGGACATTCTTATGTTGCAGATAATGTGATCATTGTGTCATCATATCAAGATTTATTTTTTATTAACTAAGGCATTTCTCATTGGATATATTACCTCTGAACGTTTTATGGTTTTATAGATTATTGCATCTCGGTTTACAACTGTATGAAGGTTACATTGTAGTGGCAGCTTTTTAATATTATAGGTAATGTGGACTATCTAAAATAAATAGGATTTGGTCCTATTTGATGAAGTTTTTATAAGGTTTGTATACTTATTATTAGTACTTGCTGATTTGTTCTATCCTGATACTGTTTTTATCTGTTTCTTTATCTAGGAAAGAACAGATAATTGGTAATCTTTCTTTAAATTTTATTCTCCTTCTTTTTGATATGATTATATTTTATTTCTATGTTTTATCTTGATATTTTTAAAGTGTAAATTTTCTGGTTGTTCTACTGAAGGATAGCATGTTAATCTTTTAAATACTGTATATAAAAATGAATCAAAGTATTAGGACTATTTGGTGAAAACTGTCCATCCCTGTTCAAGACATTATACTTTTTAGAACATTTTAGAACTCAGACTTGAAGGGGGAAAGATGTTTTGAAACAGACATAGGACCTGTCCTCTTCCATTTAAGGAGGTCTTTTTCTGGGGTCACACAGCTGCAAATGCAGGAAACGACACAATTTATTTCAGGAGTTGCTGAAAAGTGCTTTGTGAGTGCCCATGTGTACTCCAAATTACCTTTTCTTCTTTGAATCCAGATCACTGCAAAGTCCTAAAAAATGTCATGAGGCCTATCATGCCCTCTCTTCCTATTGTTTCTAATTGTTAGAAACTTATTTTGAGGGTAGACAGTTTTATTCTAGCAATTGCAGAAGCCATATCTGGTGATGTCATGGTGTTTCTGAAAGATTTCCTTTTTCCTTAGTTGGAGGAGTTAAAAAAGCAGACAATATCCATTAAACCTCACAGGATGACAATTTTTCTTCATTTTTTGCCTACTTATACCGTTCATTGGTTTGTAAGATTGAAATACAGTACAGAAACAACCACTAGAGGTTGCTGGTGTCTAAGAGAACAAACATGATTTTACAGCACTAAATTAAAAGATGTATAGTCTTTTTCCTGACATCTTTTGCGATATTTTGAAATGGCAAGAGTCATAAATGTAGCCTATGCTTAAAAACTAGTTTCCAAAGGCAATTTAATCTAATTTCTAAAGTTCTCTCTACAAGAGGTCAGTTAGATCTCTAGCCAAAAGAGGGATCTATTCTTTTCCAAGTGGTCAGATGGGCAGGAGAATGGGAACCAGAGCTGGACATAGATATTAGAAGGATTCATTTCCTACCAAAGATCAATGGCAAATTGCTTAGTTTTTCCCAGGAGTTTGTCTGAATTTCAGCCCCCAAGATTGAGCTACTGAAATTCAGACAATCCTCCCTTCCTGTTTTTCAGTACGTGCATTTGTTACATTTGGTGGTTTACAAAAATATCTTAGAGGAGCTCTGCAACTGAAGATCAATTGTAAGAAGTGTAAACAAACACACTGAAATTCTTCAAAGGCTTTCTGACCATCTTGCCATCATTCCTGTGTTGCATTTGTAAATTCATATGAATTGTGAAAGTGAAATTATCTCATGTGGGATGAGATGCAGTATGGTGGATTGATACTTGGTGGACTACTAGATAGGACTTTGTTTTGATATACCAGAATTCTTGTAATAGAAACATTTTAGTTGGAGAGAATAATGTTACCCAGGATGAAGATCATGTATATAAGAATGCAGGTGAATGAATCTTCTTCTCTTTGGCCCAGGTGACTAGAAAAGCCTTGTTTCCTGGAGACTCTGAAATTGACCAGCTATTCCGGATTTTCCGCACTCTTGGTACTCCTACTGAATCACTCTGGCCAGGAGTCACAAATCTTCCTGACTATAAAGGAAATTTCCCCAAATGGCCAAGGAAAGATATGAAGGTGATAATTCCAAACTTGGATCGAGATGGACGAGATTTACTGCTTGTGAGTAGAAGATTGGAAAAGGGATTGTGGTTGTTTTTTAATAGTTGTGACAAGAATTGGAATGTGTCCAGCTGATCAATTTGAAATTCAAAGGAAGGCATTTCTAATTTCTATGAGTTATGACCTCTCAGCGTCCATTCACAAATTACCCCACTTTTGTATTAACAAGACAGGCAGCCTGTTAGATCAAGCCAAAGGCCCATTTAATCAGGCATTCTGTTTCCACTGCTAACACATGCCCAAGGAAGCTCATTAGCAGGATAGAAATGGGCTAGCTTACACACCTTTGTTCTTTTTGACAAAAATGAGGCCTGGAAAAGATTATTTCAGTGTTACTTTAATTTTCATTGAAGGGTTTGTTGTAAATGGGCAGGATTTAAAGACTGTGGCATACTTCTTCATATTTCTTTCTTTCTAAATTACAGCAATTACTAATGTATGATCCTAACAAGCGCATCTCAGCCAAAGCTGCTTTGAACCACCAGTATTTCTGGCAAACTCCACGGGATGCTAAACAGTGTGTGGTAGAACAGTACGGGCCATGAGATAAAGAAGTTCTGGTTAGTGCTTTGCTGAAAATAGCTACCCGGATTATCTCATTCTAAACAACTGAGCAAAGGAGCAATCGTAACTGGTGTTAAAAATGTTCTGGCCTTTAGCTGAGGTTATATTCATGCAAACATCTTGACAGTTGTAAATGGTACAGATCCTTGTAAGGACTGTTAGTTCTTCTTTAACAGAGATGAAAAAGCTTGATGCTTTTAGTATATGAAAAGGAGTAGTATGACTTGCTGTCTATTTGAGTGGTAAGATGAGAAAAAAGTTTAACTAAACCTAGCTTCTGTGATATATTATTCAGTTTTTGCTGTAGTTCAAGTATTAGCATTACAGGATATGTTTATTATTATTTAGTTTATTATTATTTAGCACATCCTACAATACCTTAATTTTTGGTATAATCTTGTTGCTTGATTTTTCTTTTTTTAATATGATGAACTCATGCTGTAGTTCACAACACTACTGAAAACTAACCATGCTCAAAAAGAAAAGTGTATTTTGGGGGGGGGGGAGGTAGATATCATAGAAACATCCAGAAACTGATACATTTGAGTTTCTTTCTGTATATATATCCATCATCATAAAGAACAAGAACTTTGTGTCATCCAGATTATTAAACAATTACGCTTAGGGTTCTTTAGCTGCAGTTCGGATTTTCAGGAATATTGAAATGTTAGTTTCTAATTAAATGAAAATATAGATGTCTGATCGTCAATATGCCAAAACCTGAATTAGATAGTGTGGAACATTAAATAAATAAATAAATAAGTAAACAAACAAACAAACCCTTGACGAACTCCATTTGTTGATCTTGACCAATAGACTGGGCTGAAGCCAGAGACCATGCAATCTCTGGGTTCTGATGGAACCTTGACAATACACTGATGGAAAGAGGGAAATCTTACACGTTCTGTTTTCCTTTTGTAGTCCCTTATGCCCCCTGAAAATCTGCTTTGGAGAGCCGTACAGGAAATTACAGTGAGGAGTACCTAGAAGAAGTCAGTGAAAAGTGCCTGTGCCATTATGCAAATATGTTTGTTTTGTATTTATGGAAGGGCAGCCTAGCATCCAAATGGTAATTCTTTTCCATGGATTTATTTTAAAATTGCTGTTGATACTTTACGAAGCTTTATCATTAATTGTTGATGTTACTATAAATGTTCCTGTTTGCATAAATAAAAAATGCTTCAGTAACCTTTGCTTTAGTAAGTTTTGATGGTCAGAAAACCATCAGAAATAGCTGTAAAGGGGCAATTTCAAGATAGAAATAATCAGTGCCCCAATTTTGAAAGTTAACTATACCATAACAAAGCACTGGAAACTTCATAATACAGAGTCTAGCTATCATTTTAGAACAAGGTTCTAGCCCTGTTGCCCAGTTCAGTGGCAGTATCTAACCATTTATGGCTAATCTCAAAAAGCTAGCCAGACCTTAGATGGGAAACCACTAAGAAATACTGGACTGTAGGCTAGACTGGAAAGTAAAAAAAAATCTTAGAAGAAGAATATGGCAAACCACATTGTTGCCAAGAAAACTATATGCACATATGAAGTCCCCAGGAGTTAAGTGCAACTGGAAAGAGATTTTTAATTTATATATAGCTCTTTTACAATATGTATGATCTGTTGTATATTATATAATAGCATACTTGTTATTAGTTTGATTTGCCTTTTTCCAACGGTGTTACCTTAGACTTAGCAAGTGCATTCTCTCTATCTATGTGTTTCCATGTAATTTTTGGCACTGTTAATTTTTGAATTCTATAGTTTAATGTTTACATCAGGATAAAGAATCTATGGTTCTCCAGGTCCTGCTGAACTGCAGTTCCTAGCTAGGACTGCTGACTCAGGAATATATAAAGCATTGTATACATCAGGGGGAAGAGGATTGTTAGCCCTTTTAAAAAATAACAAATTGATAGTATTCAGTCTTTTAACTTTTATTGCATGCATGACCTTTGAACTCCAAATATTGTGACATGAAATGAAGCTACCCCTTCAGACGTTATAGGAAGGAACTATTTTCTAAGCATTTTGAAATTTGTTCTATTTTAAAAACCCCTTTATTCTCTATAATATATACTTTACTTACTCCCATATTAGATCCCTTCTACTTTTAGAAATGTTTCTTTATGAAGTACTGCTAGCTTGATATAATGAAATAAGTCTTGCTATCTAGTATAGTACACAGACATCTATAACTGTCAGACATTTTGTTCATCAATAGATAGTGTGTGAATTCTCCTGTGGATTAAAAGCATTTCAGACTCTTTACAAATTTAAAATTATGGTGCCTTGCTCAGTGCCTGAATCGGGGCAGAGTGGTTGAATGGATTGTTGACTGATATCCTTCAGAGGTAGCTGGGAGGAGGAGGAGTCCACTTAGAGGATCTTTCTGGCAACGAGTCATGGCCTCCTTATAATGAATCTTCTCTTTGGTGATGGGATCAACAAGATCTTTTTCATAACTAGATTCATCTTGTAGCAATGTGGCCAAATCGCTACTAACCAGACCTGTCTGGATAGCTTCTGATACTGGGATACGGCCTGTTTTCTTAGGATCTATTAGTCCTCCAGTTAGGTGTTGAACCTGTAAGTAAGGAAAGGCATTATCTTTGGTTATCCATCCTTTCTGAACTGCTTCTCCTACAGCCAGTCTTCTCTTGGTGACAGGATCTTCAATCCCTGTGAAAGCCTTCTGAGCATTCAACAACCTCTGCATGTAGGTATTATCAATCAGTCCTTTATCAAGGGCTTTGTGGACAGAGTAGCGCTCTCTTGAGATAAGATCAACTATGCCTCCAGTAGCAGCTTGTGCCTCTAAAAGCTTCTGGGCTGTCATTGGATCCACCAATTTCTTGCCAAGTGCAGACTTAATGTTGTACTTGTTGTCATAGGTTGTGTCATACACTCCAGCAATAGGAAAAGTATCATCACAGAAAACCATCTGTGGACCAGGAGAAAAGAAGCTTTGCTTTTGTTGAAAAACAGGAGATGAAATTGGAGATTTGGAAATTATTGAACCTATGGAAAGGGATGAATTCTGCTTAGTTTCTCCTGCTACAAGTAGAGCAAACTCACAGATGGGGATTTTGCCTTCCTTGTAAAGCTGGTATTCATCTTTTGTAATCCTTCTAAACCGCAGAGCATCATCAATAGAGTACTCTTTTCCACTCTTTTTGTCAAGAAGAACAGACACATCCCCTTTGGGTCCCAGGGTTGTGATTTCTTCCCAATCACATTCTAGTTCTTGCAAATGGATATACTGACTCCTATCTATCATGCCTCTCTTATAAGCCTCATAGGGTGACATATCTTTACCAGTCTCTGGATCCAGAATAGAAATCTTGGTAGAGAGATTTGTCTCTCTCATCTGAGTCTCATTGTTCAGTTCTTCTCTGTTGATTCTGGATTGGAGTTCCCGGATAGTCCTCTCTTTTTCATAAATATTATCCTTCTCCATAAGTATATCTGATTCAAGACGAGAAATCTCCTCGCCAAATTGGATCTTCTTTTGTCTGTCACTCTCAGTCCTTTGGCTCAAGAGCTTGGTCTGCTCTCTAAGGAAAAGGATGTTTTGCTGCTTCTGTTTGTCTAGTTCCCTTAATTCATCTTCAAGACTGGCTTTTTCTTGCATTGTCACATTTCGAGTTTTCTGGAGATCAGCTTCTTCTCTGGTCCATGTGCGTTTCATGCCTTCTGCTCTTTCAATCTTCTCTTTGAGATGTCTGATACCTTCTTCTGCATTTTGCCGGACAGTTCGTTCTCTGCTTAGCAGATCCCAAAGACGTGCTCGCTCATTTTCAAGCACCCTATCCTTTTCTACTCTGATTACTTCCTTATATATTGTCTTTTCCTGGGACTTTGTCTTTTGTAGAACATCAATCTGGACTTGAAGGTTCTTGCATTCCCTCTGAAGGTTCAGTACTTGAGCTTTCTCATTATCTAGTTCAACTCGCAATTTGGTACTAGACTGCTCAAGAACCGGATCTTTTTCTAACTTGACTACTTCCTCCATGATTATTTTTTCTTGAACTGGAGATGGGCTTTCTTCAATTTCTTTTATCCTCAAGGTGATCTGCCGCATCTCCTTTTCCAGAGCAAGCCTTTTGTTTCTGTCATCTTGGAAGTTCAGCAGTTTTTCTTTGTCTTCCACTGCTGCCCGAAGCTGTTGGACCTCATGCTCCATCCTTCGTCGGTTGCTTATTTCTTCATCTAAACTCCTGCTCAGCCTGTTGTGCTCATCTCTAAGCTTTGCATCTTTCTGAGTAACAACTACCTCCTGCACCACCACTTTTTCCTCAGGCTTCCTTCTCTCCAGAAGCATGTACTTATTCTGCAGGTCATAGATGGCATCTTCAGTTGCTCTTCTCTTTTGTAATGTATTACGTACTTCTTGGCGGAGGCATTCAGCCTCTTTTTCTAACAGAGGATCATTCTCATATCGGACAACTTCCTTAGTAACAACCTTGGTTTCAACTTTGGATCTTTCTCTTTTCCACTCATCCCTTTCTCCCTGTAACCTGATTAGCTGCTCTTGGGACCGACCATTTGCATTCACAAGGTCATTTAGCTGTTCTTTCAACCGGTCTATCTCTCTCAATATCTCTGGGCTCTTTTCTGTTTTCATCACCTCTTGGATGACTTCTTTAAACTCCACAGTAGGTGTTTGGGATCTGAGAACTTTCAGCTCAGTCAAAGCTGTTTCTACCTCCTGATCAACTTTTTTTCTTTTCCTTGAAACTTCTTGGAGTTCTCTCTTCAACCGTACTATCTCTTCTTCTGTTTCTGGGTCTAGATGAAAAATCTCATTGACTCTTTCTTTTACTTCCACCTTAGGCTTTTGCTTCTCCACAGTGCTATATTTGCTCTGCAGCTGTGTCAGTTCACTTGCCAATAAGAAGTTCTTGTTCCTTTCCTCATCAATAAGCTTTTGAAGCGTAGAAGACTCCTTTAAGAGCTTTGGATCTTGCTCAACTTGTTTTAT